TCTTTATATAAAAACTCATCATAGGAATTGCACGTGGGGAATTGCACTTCCCCTTCTTTTATTCTCACTTTGAACTCTCTCAGATCAAGATGGCCAATGACCCTCATGTTACTAAATTCAATGATGTATTCTCAGTTAAAATGTGTTTTTGCCCTGCTTGAGAATATTAAACTCTACTATACAGAAACAAAATGAGAGCAATAAAACTTACATGTGTATGTATAGATAAAAAGTAAAGCATGTATGCATTAAACACAGACAGAAAGGGACAGAAGGACCAAGATGTATCTAACATTCTTGAGGCAAATATGCAAAACGCACCAAAGAGTCAGAATACATTAAATATGTATGAGACACTTAGAACTCAATATTCATGAGGCCTTAATTTGGCCACCCATTGGTGATACCTATTCTGTCCACTGACTAACAAATACAAATAAAACCTATGGCTGTTGAGTAGATTAACTGGAGAGCTAACACCATGACCAGGCATACTTGTTCCTGTATCTTCCTGAGAGTGTGTGTATCTGTGGCCCAGGGCACCTACCTTGTGGGCTCTGGTTCTCACAACCGCAGCATTAGCAAAGAAGGCGGATAAGCCAAAACGTATAAACATTATACCCCAGGAATGATTTAGGTAGTATGGTCCTTCTATCCTACTTAAACCTCAGTCTAAATGTGTTAACTTATCCTCTATCTTTCCCCTTGCTTCTGTGTATTTTATATTTATTTAATGAATCATGTGATACAAACATTTTTTCAATTAGTTTTTTTTTTTCAATAACCTCTGGGATAGCTTGCCTGGTGGTGTACTTGAAGTCCAGCATTGAATTAGGGTGATTTCCCACTCTTAAAAACATTATTTGATACATTTACTGACTTTCTCTTTTTGAAACATTTTTCTCTGGGTCACCATCCATGGTTCTCATATCTCACTGGCCATGTGTTCCCCATCTCCTCTAAAGTACTAGGATGACTTTATTACATTTAGTCTTACATCTTTGCATAACATCTTCAGGCTGATAAGTCCCAAATTTAAATTTCTAGTCCTAATATCTTACATAAATACAGTGTAAAACCAAACTTTTACTATCTACCTCAAAACCAATTCCTCTCTTAGATAACTGCAATGGTCTCCTAAATATTTTCCTAGTTGCCCACCTTAGATTCACTTCAGTATACTCCCAACCCAGCAGTCTGAGTGATCCTTCCAAAATATGAATCAAACCATATTAATCCTCTGCTCAAAACCCATGCTATGGCTTCCCATATCCATCATAATAAAATCTAAAATCAGTACCAGAATCTGCAAGACCCCAGCTGGATTACTACCATCTCTACTCCCACCACTAACCAGCTTGCTCAGCCAGTTCTAGTCATACAAACTTCTGTGCCACTATACAAACACTCAAGCATGTTACCACTTCAAGATTTTTTTTTTTTTTTTGAGACAGAGTCTCACTCTGTCACCCAGACTGGAGTACAGTGGCTTGATCTCAGCTCGCTGCAACCTCCACCTCCTGGGTTCAAGCCATTCTCCTGCCTCAGCCTCCTGAGTAACTAGGACTACAGGTACACGCCACCAAGTCCAGCTAATTTTTTGTATTTTTAGTAGATATGGCGTTTCACCATGTTGGACAGGTTGGCCTTGAACTTCTGACCTCAAGTGATTCACTGCCTCCCAAAGTGCTGGGATTACAGGCGTGGGCCATTGTGCTTGGCCAAGATCTTTACATTCACTACTCCCTCTGCTTGCAGTGCTCTTTCCCGATATATTTACATGACTTGCTCTTTTACTTCCTTTAGGTCACTGCTCAAATATCCTCTTATCAGAGTGGGCTTACCTTATCAACTTTTTTTTTTTTTTTTTGAGACAGAGTCTCCCTGTGTCACCCAGGCCAAAGTGCACTGGCGCAATCTCAGCTCACTGCAGCCTCCACCTCCTAGGTTCCAGCGAATCTCTGCCTCAGCCTCCCGAGTAGCTGGGATTACAGGCACACACCACCATGCCAGATTAATTTTTGTATTTTTAGTAGAGATGTGGTTTCACCATGTTGTCCAGGCTGATCTCGAACTCCTGACCTCACGTGATCCGCTTGCCTTAGCCTCCCAAAGTGCTGGGATTTATAGGCGTGAGCCACTGTGTCTGGCCCCTTATCAATTTTTATAAATACAAACTTCTGCCAACTCACCCAACCACCCTCACACATAGCATTCCTATACTCCTTGTCCAACTTCGTGTTTCTTAAGAATCTGGGCCACCAACTGAGAGATATTTATTGGTTTGCTTACTGCCTGCCTGTCCAGACATTAAGTTCCACCAGGTCAACAATTCGTACATTCTATTTCATATGCCTAAAATTTACAGAATACCAAGCACATAGAAGGTACTCAACAAACATTACTAAAAATATAAATAACAGTAACTGGAGATATTCCCACAGTGAGTGTTAGCAGCAAAAAAGGGCAGCTCCACATGAAGACAAGAGGATTAGCTAGAGAATCACAGATCCTGCCAAGTCCCACAAGTCCAGCAGACTCCCAGAATTACTTGGGACAAGGGCTGTAATACCAGAAAAGCAGGTAAGAGAAAAGCCATAGAAATACTGTTTTGTGGTAGTCACAGCCCTGATTAAAAAATAATAATAATAATTAATTGGTAAGAAAAATAACTTTACCACAGGTAAACCAGAAAGACACCCTCCCAACCAAGTGATCAAAATATCACCAGTATTCTAAATTGGTAGGCTTATGCAATAAAACAGAGAAAAAAAGGAAGGTAATATCACCAGTAACTGCACAAATAAATATAATATGCTTCCTAATACGATGCACTAAGAACACTACATAACTTCTGTGGTATTCCTGCCAAAAGCATATAACCCAAATCTAATCATATTAGGAACATTCTGTAAAAACAAAACAAAACAAAACAAAACAAAAAAACTGGTCTATATTTAAAAATGGTCTATGACATAAAACACAGAAACTCAAGGACTGTTCCACATTAAAGATGACTAAACAGACATGACGATTAAATGCAATACATGATCCTAGTTTTATTTTGTTAGAAATGACATTGTTGAGACAATTGGCAAAATCTGAATACAATCTATATAGATTAAACAGTATTTCATCAATGTTAACTTCCTGACTTTGATAATTATGTGGTTATGTAAGATAATGCCTTTTTTTTTTTTAAATTTTGAGACGAAGCCTCCCTCTGTTGGCCAGGTTGGAGTACAGTGGCACAATCTCAGCTCGCTGCAACCTCTGCCTCCTAGGTTCCAGTGATTCTCCTGCCTCAGCCTCCCGAGTAACTGGGATTACAGGCATGAGCCACCACACCCAGCTAATTTTTGTATTTTTAGTAGAGATGGGGTTTCGCCATGTTGGCCAGGCTGGTCTCAAACTCCTGACCTCAGGTGATCCGCCCACCTCAGCCTCCCAAAGTGCTGGGATTACAGGTGTGAGCCACTGCACTTGGCCCTTTGCTCTTAAGAAATACATACTATTGGCCAGGCACAGTGGCTCACGCCTGTAATCCCAGGACTTTGGCAGGCTGAGTTAGGTGGATCACTTGAGGCCAGGAATTTGAGACCAGCCTGGCCAACATGGCGAAATACCATCTCTACTAAAAATACAAAAATTAGCCGGGCATGGTGGCAGGCACCTATAATCCCTGCTACTCGGGAGGCTGAGGCAGGAGAATCGCTTGAACCTGGGAGGCGAAGGATGCAGTGACCTGAGATCGCGTTGCTGCACTCCGGCCCGGACAATAGAGCAAGACTCTCTCTCAAAAATAAAAGCACATCTATGAAAGAAGAAGCTACAAAAAATTGATAGAATGTACGTTTTTTAAGAATACTTTCTATCAGACTAAAATAGTCAACTTTTTCCTACTTCTGAATTTTATTTAAAAACTAAAAAAAATTTTTTTAAATTTAAAATTTTAAAAAAAAACTGGAAATAAGGCCTGGCACACTGGCTCATGCCGGTAATCTCAGCACTTTGAGAGGCTGAGGCAGGCAGATTGCTTGAGGTCAAGACCAAGTCTGGGCAACATAGCAAAACCCCATCTCTACAAAAAGAAAAAAAATTTTTTAATTTAAAAAAAAAAGAAATAGTATCATAAAATACAATACCATAACCCTGACCTTTAAAGAAATACTGATTTCCATATAGTATTTCTATTTTCATTATTTAAATTTTTTTTTTTTAATGAAGATGACCGGGGGACCAGGTGCGGTGGCTCACACCTGTAATCCCAGCACTTTGGGAGGCTGAGGCAGGCGGATCACTTAAAGTCAGGAGTTTGAGACCAGCCTGGCCAATGTGGTGAAATCCCGTCTCTACTAAGAACACAAAAATTGGCTGGGCACGGTGGCTCATGCCTGTAATCCCAACACTTTGGGTGGCCGAGGCGGGTGGATCATGAGGTCAGGAGTTAAGACCAGCATGACCCATGTGGTGAAACTCCATCTCTACTAAAAATACAAAACTTAGCCGGGCGTGGTGGCTCATGTCTGTAATCCCAGTTACTCAAGAGGCTGAGGCAGAATAGTTTGAACCCGGGAGGCGGAGGTTGAAGTGAGCTGAGATAGCACCACTGTACTCTAGCCTGGGCGACAGAGCGAGACACCATCTCAAAAATAAATAAATTAAAATAAAATAAAAAAGAACACAAAAATTAGTCAGGTGTGGTCGTGGGCACCTGTAGTTCCAGCTACCCGGGAGGCTGAGGCAGCAGAATCGCTTGAACCCGGGAGGTGGAGGTTACAGTGAACCGAGATTGTGCCACTGCACTCCAGCCTGGGCGACAGAGTGAGACTCCACCTCAAAAACAAAGAAAAGATAACCTGAAAAATAGCACCCATACTTTGATGATTTAGCATTATTTCAACCAAAACACCATGAAATACTGTAGAACCACCTTAGTACAAACGTAAAAGAGCCACAGTCAGCCATTTCTAAAAAGAGAGAAAAGAAAGCAACATTACCTTCATGGACCGTAATGCCACAATTGTCACACTGAATTATTTCATCAGCATCCTCACTATTATCTCCCAGACAAACACAGCAAATCAGAATATGGTCCATTTTTTGAGAGCTCCAGTTTTGACTCTTCTCAAGAATCAGCGAGTCCTAATATTAAAATATTAACATATATCAGAAAATCACATTTAAAGTAAAAAAAAAAATTAATCACTAAAATTCTCTTTATTACTTAAACATTATTATATGCACTTCCAAATGTATGCCCCATTTTCCATGCTTTTATTAACTCCAAAGTACATTATATCTGAGAAATATATACTTGACGTCTTTGTTAAAGAACACTACAAGCACCCTCATTTAATTTCTCACTTCTCTGCAAGCTTCGTATTCTCTCTCCTCTTGGAGAGACGATATGAAAAAGCAGGCATGCAACTAACAACTCTTGATCTGCTTTGCCCCTTAAACCAGGAAAAACGAAAAATGAATCCACAAGTAATCAAAGTAATCACTGATCTTATACATGTGTTTTAAAAGTACAAGACATGATTCTTACACTTTAGGAGCTTATAATCCTACCTAGAGGAGACAAGACACACATATGCAAAATAGGAAGAAATCAATTCAAAATAATGTATAAGCAAGTATATATGTGATGGCAGACTTAAGGACTCTATACTCCTTAAGTACTGGGGAATTCAGAAATTCCAGCATTATCAAACTACTATAAGATAGATCCATGAGAGCCTGCCTAGGTATATGAATATACACAGATACAGAAAATAATCTAAAAAAGGATCCAGATTGACTAGCTGCTAGAAGGGTCAGAGAACTCTATTAATTAGGTTTATATCAAGAAATATCTAGTGTAAACTGGTAATGAAGACATCTAGCTAGTGATACTACAAAAAGAGAGGATGGGATCAGTGGCTCACGCTGGTAATCCCAAATACTGTGGGAGGCTGAAGTAGGAGGATCACTTGAGGCCAGGAGTTTGAGACCAGCCTGGGCAACAGAGTGAGATCCCGTTTTTACAACGTATTTTAAAATTAGCTGGGCGTGGTGATGCATGCCCTTAGTCCCAGGTACTCAGGTGGCTGAGGTGGGAGGCTCACTTGAGCCCAGGAATTCAGTGCTGCAGCCAGCTATTATGTCACTGCACTCCAGCCTGGGGGACAGAGCAAGACTGTCTCAAAAAGAAAGAAAGAAATAGGAAGACATATTAATAAACATTTAAAAGATAAAATTCAGAAGAAGAGGGTCTGCTTGTTTTCATTTAAACCTTCTGCATTATAGAGTTAAACTTTAAAAAAGTTAACAAGAAAATGATTATTGCATATTTAATAGATTGTGCTTAACATTACCTATAATAAAAGATGGTACTTGAGTCCATACATTTTTATTTATCAACCTAACAATATTCAGAAATAAATTTAATAAATTAGTTTCATACCATACACTCATTAAATATACATTTTTCATAATATATTTCATAAATATATTTTATTATTTTTTATATTTTTATATTCTTTTAAACTCAACCAATATCCAAAAGTAACATTTGGAGCCATCATTTAAACAGCAATTTGTGACACTTGAATATACTTGAAGGTCACAATTAATAATTCAACATACTTTGTGTGTAACATCTAAAATTGCAGATTTGTAAAACAATCAGAAAAGAATGCAAATGTCAACAAGAATATAGTATCATTTCTCTTAAGAATTCTAGTATTTTTAAGTTCTGCATTTTGCTTCTCTATGTTATAAAACCAAAAAAATAGTTCTGGGGCTGACAAGTGACTGGCAAATAAAAGTGAAAATGTCCTAAATAAAACTCATCTGGCTTTACAGTACAAGAGTAAGCAAACAAAAATCTGCCCAGATTTTCATACTATTAGTCATGCTTCAAAGTTGACATGAAATCAAACATTTTAAGTTTCTTTCTCACCTCTCACTTATTCGCTACTGAACCTCGAAGCTGTAATTTCTTTATCTGCAAAATGGCGATAAAAATAATATCTACCTCAGGAGGTTATAAGAATTAACAATAGACGGCAAGAATGTTCCTGGCACAAAGTAGACACTCAATAAATGTTCAATGCCTTTTCCTTTCCGCTGTATCTCTTGTTAAGGTGGTTCAAAAAGAGGATCATGAACTGATGATTTATTACACTGAGGATCTTCCTTGTGCCCCCAAAAGAAAAGTTGCGAGCCTCAATGAACACTGCTACTTTAAATATCATCCCCATGGTAAGTCCAAAGAAGACTTTCCTTAGAGAGCATCCTGGCTAACACGGTGAAACCCCGTCTCTACTAAAAAATACAAAAAAATAAAAATAAAAAAATAAAAAACTAGC